CGGTGGTGGGGGGGGTGGTGCTGAGAATGGAAGACTGGGCACTGCACTCCTGCGGAGGGCTGAGAGGAGCTGGCTTCTTGCAGCAGCTCAGGCAGCAGCAGGGCGTGAGATACAAGTAGATGAGCACCAGCACCAGGCTCACGATGCACCCCAGCAGGGTCGTGAGGCCGGTGCTGAAGGTCTCCCCATCTGGCTTGGGGTAGTGGACTGTCACATTGACCTCGCACAGCCTGCTGAAGTTGTGGGGGCTGTTGATGGCCAAGCCTATGTAGACCCCCGAGTGCCAGGGCTTGGCTGCTGCGATCTTCAGGCTGCCATTGTGGTAGACTTCCAAGGAGCGGTTGTTATTTCCTGGGTGTTTGATGGGCTCGTGGTGAGGGGAGATCCACATGTAGGTGCTGGATGCAGCTGGCAGGCTGGTGTTGCAGGCGAGCAGGAGGGTCTGGCCCACCATCACAGGGAAGGGCAAGGGGTGCACATCTTCGGGGCCTGTTGAGCAGTTCTCAAACATGTGGTTGTATTTGAGGAACTTGATCAGGGACCGGGGCACACTGTCAGACACCTTGCAGGTGTGTTCCTCAAAAAAATCCTTCACAGAGCTGAAACCTCGCTGCTTCCAGCGCTGGAGCATCAGGTAGAGCGGGCAGCTGCACCTGATGGGGTTGTTGTGCAGGTACAAACCATTCCTGATGTTTTCAGGCAGAACTGCCAGCTGCTCCACGGGGATGCTGCTCAGGCTGTTGGAGGAGAGGTCCAGCGTGCGGAGGCTGTAGTTTCCCAGTCCCTGCACTGAGTGGAAGGGGAAAGTGGTGAGGTTGTTCCAGCTTAGGTAGACTTTCCGCAGGCCACTCAGCTTAACGAAGGCATTTTCATCCACTCGAGTGATGCGGTTGTTGTAGAGCAGCAGCTCCTCCAAGCTCACCAGCATGTCAAAGTAGTGTGTCTCCACAGCATGCAGGTGGTTGGAGGACATATCGAGGTGCCGCAGGTAGGAGGCATTGTGGAAAGCCTGCGGAGGCAGGTCCTTAATCTGGTTGTGACTGATGTGGAGGGCCTCAAGGTGTGGGACGACAGCCAGCCAGTGGTCGTGGAGCTGGGTGAGGGCGTTGTGGCTGAGGTCCAGGGTGGTGGCGGTGGCTGGCAGCGCACGGGGCACACGCTGCAGCATCTGCCGGCTGCAGCTCAGCAGGTCGGAGGTGCAGATGCAGGTAGTGGGGCAGCTGTGGGGCAGTGGGGAGGCATGGGGAGCATGGCCGTGGGCACACAGCTGGAGCAGCAGCAGGAGCTTCACCACCCATGGCCAGAGCTGGTCTGCAGGTGCCCGTGGGGACATTGTGCCAGGCAGGAGGCTCTGTGCAGCCCAGCAGCACAGCCAGGCTTGACAAGACAAGAGAAAATATGTGCCCCGTTCCTCCCCAGTCTGCCCCTGTGCTGCCCTGACTGGGGGCTCTACCAAGCATCCATGGATGCTGCTTTGCACCCTGTGGAGGAGGATCCCGATTCCAGCTGTGGGGCTTGATAAGAGTTAAAAGGTGGCATCGCCCTGCCCAGTGAGGCTGCCTCCTACCTGTGCTCCAGCTGGCCGGACAAGAGAAAATATGTGCCCCGTTCCTCCCCAGTCTGCCCCTGTGCTGCCCTGACTGGGGGCTCTACCAAGCATCCATGGATGCTGCTTTGCACCCTGTGGAGGAGGATCCCGATTCCAGCTGTGGGGCTTGATAAGAGTTAAAAGGTGGCATCGCCCTGCCCAGTGAGGCTGCCTCCTACCTGTGCTCCAGCTGGCCGTGGGCTGTCCAGCACTGGGGTGCAGGGGGAGCCAGTGTCCAGCATCAGGGGGCTGAGATGCTCTGCTGCTTCAGCGCTGTGTTTCAGGCTGAGCGAACGCCTCGCTGCCTCCTGGAGCCCTGTGTTGCTGGAGTGCCAAGTTTCTCAGGGCTCAGTGCCGCCGTGGCTCCAGCCGCTGGGAAAGCCCCAGCCAC